TTCGGTAAGTGATAAACTCTGAACTTGTTAGCAAGTAGCATATGAGAACTACTTCTAAATAACAAGTGCCATCCCCATAGTAAGTGATAAGCTTTAAACCTATTAGCAGATAGTATATGAGAACTATCTCTAAATAATAGGTGCTGGTTTATGGTTCTTGTCAGTCTTATATCCTTCTTTTCTAGCATAGTTTTACTGTTTTTGTTGAAAATTTTTGTTTTGAAAAGTTGGTCCAAGTGATCATCAGGAAGAGTAATTTAGAATCTTTAATATCTGCTATAATGCTATAAAGTTTATAATATTCTTTTGTAGTTTTATATATTGTATCAAGATAAATTTTATTTATAATAATGCTATTATTTTTAATTTTTTCTAGTAATAGATTAATTACTAGCTTAATTTAGTTTTAGTAACAACTCTAGTAAAAAATAAATATGTTTAATAAAATAAATTAAATCAAAAAGTTTAAATAAACAATTTTTTAATAAATTGCAAGTATGGTTTCTAATATAAAATTTTAAACTAAATTATTTAAATTAAAAAATTAAATAACCAAAAGTGTAGCTAGTTTTACTCTTATTGTAAACAGAAAAATACAAATATTTTTAATAAAAAAATATAAATAGTATGTGTTACTTTTACAAAGAAAAAAAAAAGTTTTAAAAAAATTAATATAGATTATTTTATAAAATTTTAAGTAATTTTAATTAAAATTTTGGTTTAAGTTGTCCCAAAAACTGTTTCAAATTGTTTCATGTATTTAAATAATAATAACAAATTTATCAAGAATTAATAAATATTTAAAATTGAGTTAAATCAAATATTTGATTTATTTAGTTAAATTCAATAAATCTTGATTTAAAATTAAATTGAAGTAAAAAATCTTAATATACAGTAAATCTGAATTAACTTTTAATTATATTTAATTTATTACAATAAATCACCAAATAACAATATATAAAAACTAGTTTTATCAAATATTTAAAATAATTATATATACAATAAAATTTAATATCAGATATCTAATACGTATTCTAATTTAGGCTCGTCATGAAATCGCATTTCTATCAGAAGTTTCTTTTAAATAACGTTATTCTGTCCCTTAAACTGTCTCACCATACATATCACGTTATGTTTAAAATGATAGATTACGATCAAATATATTTTGATAATTCGACCACGGATCAATAATGACAATTTGAAGATAACTTTGATTGAGAGATGGGATTAATTTTGGTTTAAGAACAGAGAAAATACTTTGAATTGGGCGTCCATAAAAACCTTTTTATCAAAAATCGATTATAACTCAAATTTTAATTATAGAAATTACCTTTTATAACACCACTTAACAGATTGAATTTTACTATAATATAATAACATTAATATCTTTTTATAAAACTTTAATTATGTAACACATCTTGAAATTTGACCAAAGAACATGATTAGAACTTTTTTTTTACCATAACAAGCCAGCTTTTTTTTTATTAATGAGTCCATAGAATATGTGGCATTAAGCTTTGTACGGTCTTAAACATGTGTATTCTAATAAGAATGCTCATTATATAAAAAAATATATTTATAAATTTGGTGACTATATGTACTGACCAGACAATTAGGTTCGGAGCGGTATAGCAAATTTATTATATAAAATCGGGGTACATCGAACGAACGAATGTAAATAAATGTAAGTAATTTTGTTCAGAACCTTTTAGTTGGTTATAGGCAGGGTTTGGTGTAAAGAGGGTCAACAGTAAGGTAGAAAGGAAAGGAATGTTTAAGATAGTACATTTTCAAAATAGACGCCCTTAACATCTTTGCCTCTCATCGATTGTTTTACATTGTATTCAAAGTTTTTCCGATTATTTCTCATCTCCTCAGCCGCTTCTAAAAAAAATGAAAATCATAGCAATAATAACGAAAGGTTGAGAAATAATCAACAAAAAAATGAAAGAAAACAATAATTTAATTAAGTGTCGAATACGTTACCCTTATTGAGTGGATCTTCAGGATTTGGTTCCAAGAACAAATATTGCAATCCCACTAAGACAGAATTTAAATTCAAGACAGGTTTCCAATCTTCACGAAGGATATTCAGGCAAACATTACCCTCAAGATCAATATTTGGATGATAAATCTAAAAAGCATAATATAGAATTAACAAAAGTTGATTATGATATATTAATAAAAATTCGGTGGAACCATTCTCACTTAACAAAATGTAGTCAAAGACTATTTATTACCTTTTGAGTGCAGCGAACCTTTGGGGGGTCATGAGGATAATTATTGTTTATGTTGAAAGTGAATTTAAACACACCACCTCGATAGAAGCCTAACATAAGTATATAAACCATTAAGTAAAATGAGGCAAAACAATTTTACAAAAGTTACTCCAAAATACAAACCTTCGTCAGGTGTTATGGACAGGTTAAAATTGAGAAGATCTGATTCATCCGGAAAACTCATTTGCATTGTATCCGGGAGTGCTAGCTCAGTTAAGTCTATCAAAGTAAAGAAGAAAGAGAGTTAGTTCAGGATTAGTAAGAAACTTATTAAAGAGATTTTAACACAAGTAAGAATTTTTCTTGCCAGAGAGGCCGAATAAAAAATAGCAGTTGCTTCTGAAGATCAATGAACAGTGATGACAAAATAAACGCTTCAAGCTATAGAAAGCAACGAAAAGAAAAGAAAAAAATAAATATACCTTTTTGAACACGAATCTGAGCAGCACTAATTTTCGATTTTTTTTTTTCAGCGGAAGAATTGTCCTTCTTAATTGACCAGATTTTAATCATTTTCTAACTCTAGCTGTGTTTTAAAAGTCTAATTTGTATTTCTAAAAGAACAAAGTCGGTATGTGAAAGTTTAAAGAGATCTTTGACTTATTCGTTTTAACTGCGGAAGTAGTAAGAGGAAGTTAACGGTTGTGGATATATATACTTTACCAACAAGTCGAGTTCCTCTTTGTATTGGATCCTAATGTTGATAACCAAGTCGTTTTCCGAAACAGAAGCCCGTGTAATATGTATGTAACATGTATGATCAAATGACAATTATTTTTTTGTATTGTGCAAGTGGAGTTGACTCCAAATTCAGAAAATTTCTTTATAATCAACATGCATCGGAGTCGGTAGTTCGCGTGCCGCAGCAGATATATTAAAACATATATATATATATTGTATATATAAAAATAAATTTTTTAACAAAATTACTTCTCTAATTTTATGGCTTTATGAAGTTAAACATGTAATTTCTATCTATCTATCTATCCTGATCAACTAAAACATGAAACCAACAAGAATATTGTTTATAAAATTATAAGACGTCTATATGAATAATGAATTTTTTTTTTTTTTAAAGATAATTTTCACCAACTACTCCATTCATCCTCCCACCCATCATCTTTTTTCGACTCCCCTCTTCTCCTTGTAGTTGAACTAGCAGAAGTCTTTGGTGAAGCCGAACGCGTATTAGTAATATTAATACGATTTAATGGTGAATTACTTCTACTGACCGGAGAATTAGTTCGTTGATAATGATTAATCGTGTCAGAGAAGAAATCACTATCATCATTATTATTATAATTATTATTACTATCATAAATACTATTAGAATTATTATTAAATCGTTCATTATTAGCTATTGAGGAATAATTTGATCGAGCAAAGGAACTTGCGGACGTGGAGATGGTTGAAATTCCACGAGATGCAGTCTCGGTAACCTAAATAAAACTTTCTATTAACTTTGAAATTATAAAGAAATAAAAGAAATTTTTATTATTTATGAAATCAATTTACATACCGTTTTACCAATTCCTGTCACGTATCCAGAAATCTGTTGAGTGAATTCTGGGTCCCTGACTTTTTCGGTAGTAGGCTTTATCACGTGTTCATTGACGGTATGTCCCAATGTTTCCGCACCTTGCGCTGCCAATTTAGCACCTTCTACAACATGGTAGCCTAAAAAGTTTAAACCTTTAGCCAAAGCACCAACTGGATTTTTCATTAATTCGTCCAGATCCGGGGCGGACGTTGAGGTAGATGAAGGCTCATTTGTAAATGCAGGGTTACCAAATCCAGTGTATTTTCCACCTTGATTTGGCGGTAAATTATCCGGCCTATTTTCATTGGCTCGTCCAAGATTTGCAAAATATGTTTCATTACGTGTTTCGTTCGGTAAAGTTCCATTGATATTATTATTTGTTTGATATGATTGATATGAAGAAGGGCTTGATGTTTCTACTCGATTAGGTGTTGGAGCAGGCGTACGTTTGCCGCTGATTGATGAAGGGCGGCTTGATTGGCGACTCATTGATGTTGAAGCTGAAGATGACCATTTTCTTCCTTCACATTGTGCTGTCAACTGAAGTAAATATAAATTAGATTACAGTTATTTTTCAAATAATTAAAATTTATTATTTCGAACCTTTTCTCGGTAATTTGCTGCAAAACTACTATGATATTTGTCTTTTAAGGACATTTCTGGATAATAATCTGATGAAGCCTCGTAAAAATCTCGCCATGCTGTGTTACCTCCGAGCTTATTTACAAGTAAAATTAAGATATTTGGTTATTTAAATGAATTTTTAAATTAATTATAATAGAAATCCACAAACTTACTTTCATCTTCTTTATTTGATCTTCATACCATTTATCCATCGTGATTGAACGAACAAAACTGAATTTGAATAATATAATATTAAGATCACAATAAATAAATAAGGTTTACCCACTTGTCGATGTTTCCATGTGACATCACATTTAATCGCGAAAATCAATTTCTGCAAAATTGATTCAATAACATTGCAGATTATTCAATTGTTCATTTGATCTGTCTACCCAAAATTTCAATATTTATCACTTTTGAGGGTGACGATTTAATGCAGCCTAGTGCTATATCATATAGTCTACCAGTTCAAAATAAACCTCGTTAATACGAACCTAACATGAACTCCAAATGATCGATGTATACCAGAACATTCCAAACAAATAAAAATGCCAAAAGAAACTGAAGCCCACTGCGGGTTCGGTGCTCCACAGTCCACACAGTTCTACATAAAAAAGACTTTTCAATTTTTTTTTCTATGAACCTCTTTAACAACAAAACTACTACAAGAGAAATAAAGCTTACCTTGTTACCATTTTGTTTTTGAATTTCACTCAAAACTTGTTTGTAATCTGCCGCCATTCTTTTCACTCAATTAATGTAACAGATGTAAGAAGTAAGATTATAGCAAACAACATTCGTTTTATTGCAAATTTATTACAGTTTATAATTGATCTTTATTATCCAATTGTGTAACTGTTTGTGTTAACATTAACAAGAATTACTAGAATTACTTGATTCGGCCCATTACTGAACGCATCCATGTTACACTAAATAACGGTATTACCGCTTTTTTTTTTTTTTTTTTTTTAACTAATTAGATTAAGGAGCGAACAGCCTTGTAATCTAAAAAAGAAAATGGGATCGAAAAAAAAAAGAAATAAGCATCAACAAGTTCATAAAAGTTCTTTATCCAATTCTGAAAGCAACAATAATAATATTTGTGATGAACATTCTGAAAATTCTGAACAGCCGTTAGAAGAAATTCCTAAAACTGGTTTTAAAATTCTTCCCCTTGAAATTGAGTCAATTTCTAATCAAACTAATAATTTATCCACAAATCTTTCATCATCAATTAAACATAATCCACTTGTTTCAATTCATTATTGCTATTTTAAAAGTCATGATCCGCGTATAAATATTCGCGATAATTCGACAATTCTCCCAGCAGAAAGAACACTATTCATTACAAATTTACCAGTAGACACAACTGAATGTCATATTAGGCATATATTTGAAGAATGTGGCATAATTGATCGAATTTTATTTCATGGAGTATTAAAGAATAATGAATTTTTATCAAGTGTGATCAATGCTGACAATAATGATGGATCAATTCTAATGGAAAATAAAATACAAGGAAAAAAATCGAAGAAAAAGAAAAAACAAAAATTTAATGAGACTGTCGAAAATTCAGTCTTAGAAGGATCGAGAAATTTGTTGATACCGGGTTCAACAGCACATATAATATTTAAAGATTCTGAAGGATTAACCAATGCACTTAATATGGTGCAAAAAAAAAGGATATGGAATATTAGAGATCAAGATATTCCTCCATTGGGTTTGAAAAGTAAATTAATTTTTTTTTTAGACAATAAGAAATATAATAATAATTATTTCTTTTAATATATCAAGAAATTCTAACTTCTAAGTAATTAGGATGGTTACAAGAATATCAAAAACTTCGCGCGGATCCTAACAAACTTAACGCACAAGTTGATGAATATATACGTAAATTTGAAGAAGCAGAACAAGAAAAGCATAAAGCTTTAGAAGCAAGACGTAATCAACCCGATGAAGATGGATTTATTCTAGTCACAGGAACTGGAAAGAGAAATATCAACACTGATGGTACTATCACTGTGACAGCAGTTAAAGCGGATGTAGCGAAAAATTTAAAACCAAAAAACAAGGGATTGGTAGATTTTTATCGTTTCCAAATGCGCGAAGCTAAACGCGAAAGTAATTATTACATTATAATTATATTATATATTATATTATATTATATTATACGAAATTTATTTTATGATCCATTTTAATAAAAAAATTTTTTTAACATTGGTTATTTTAGAACTCGCTGAATTGCGAAAGAAATTTGAAGATGACAAACGGAAAATTGCCGATCTTAAAGCAGCTAGGAGATTCAAACCTTACTGAGCCAGCACAAACGTTAGAGTTGAAGTCATTGGTATAATTTGGCTTAAGGTTTTGGACAAAAGCTTATAAAAGTGAATTCGTCGATTTATGAAAATTATGATAAAAGTTTACTCAGCATATTTTGCATTTTAAGTGTAGTACAAACGTTTTTATTGTAGTATTGGTGAAGATCAAAAATTTTTCATGATCTTCACACATAATCACCAAGGATCCGGAAGATTTTGAATCAATTTTTTGATTGTAGTTTAACCAATAAAATAATGTATATATATAATATTTGGTTAACAAAACATACTACGTATATATGTGACGTACATAACTTTGGTACAGTAATAAGATTTACCGGTTAAAATACCCTTTTTTAGTGTCCTTCATGCGGGTTTACTAATTTTCCCCACCACTTCACTATCGGAGTACTATAAATTTAATTAATAGCACAGATACTCCGATATGTGAATAATTAGTAGAACCAGGTGGGAGAAATTAGTAAACTCCCTTCATGCGGGCATTTTAAATATCCATGATACTTGTCACTGATAAAGATACACACCAACTGGGGTTAAATCGCCATCTAAAAAAATTTCAGGTCATGCAATTTACATAATACAGTAGTTAATAGTTAATTATACTTGCGCTTTTATGGAAGTCGGCTAAAACTCAATATAGGATCTACATACTGCATAAATTGATATATATTTATATATAAAAACCCGCCTAACTACATCAAAAAGACAATTCTAACCCTAACTTCGCTTTAGCCGACAAACTTTTATGGAAATTTTATTAATAAGCCATCGTATGATAATTGATATATCGTAATTATTAAATCGTATGATCTGAAGTTTTTTGGGTGACGGTTACGCCTCAGGTAGGGATGTTTAACAGCTCGGTTTAATCGGTTTTCGAGTCGGTTAGAGTCAAGTTGCTTAGAGTCAACTCCAATTCGACTCCACTAATATCACATGAAATTTAGGCAAGATCGATTTCCACTTTATACATTGCATTGTGTTAAACCAATCATACCTATCCAACTTTTGATTTTTGTACAACCTCACATGATTAAAATTCAAATCTGAGTCTGATGACTTACTCGGTCGGATAAGTTCAGAGCATTTAACATCCCTAGCCTCAGGTGTAATTTCGAATTTTGGTCCGAATTAAATTAATTCGGGCCAAACACCCCGGGCCCGGGACTCAGGTATTTTTTAGTGGTATATATATATATTTTTGTAGGACTTCTTTAGGCAGTCACTTCGATATTATTTTTGCTAAAACGCAATCTAGGAGTTTTATACCTATATATTAATACAATACATATACTGTATATATATATATGTATAAAATATGCTGTATTCGTCTGGCAAAGTTATTCATGATAATCAGACCAAGACGAAGGTGCGTTTGTTGCATTAAATATCCTAAGATCATTTACAGTGGCGATCATAAGTAATAGAGCAAAAAAAAAATTTTGCTTAGATCGCATTATTTCGAGCAATTCGCAACGTATCCTTTTATTTTTTTTTAATTTATTCGTGAATTGTTATTTTTTTTTGATATTAAATTTTTAATGAATTTTGTTGTTGTCGATTCAAAAATAATCACGCGTGTAGCACGAA